CCCCCCGCCCAGTGAGATTTTAGATTCCCTAATGGGAATGAAAGTGTAAGGAGAAAAGTCTAGGCACTATAAAATAAGGCAGAAAGATATTAGAACCATTATAGAGAGTAAAGCAAAGTACCGTGAAGCTACTGGAAAAAGATAACTAAATCCAGTAGAAATACAGTTGACCCTTGAACAACAGTTTTGAACTGTGCGAGTTCATTTAAATGTGGGTTTTTTTCAATGTATCAGAAAATTTTTTGGAGATTTGCAAAATTTTGAAAAAACCTGCAAATGATATAGCCTAGAAATACCTAAAAAATTAAGAGAAAGTTAGGTATTATTGTAAGAATAGAATATGTAATACATATAACATACAAAATATGTTACTGGTAAGGCTTCCGGTCAACAGTAGGCTATTAGTACTTAAGTTTGGGGGGGAGTCAAACATTACATGCATATGTTCAAATGTGTGGGGAGTTGGTTCCCCTAACGCCTGCCATTGTTCAAGAGTCAACTATATCCTCAGATGCGATCGAGAGCATTTGGCATCTTGGCCAAAGTGAAACCTGCAGTGATGGACAGTACTGGTGTTCTGGGAGGGAGAGAAGAAAGTGATTAAATAAGCCAAGATGAGAACACACAGGCAACATTCTGGGAACAAAGGGTAGACTGGTATGATTAGGGTACAAAGCAAGAGTTTGGGGAGAGGGAGACTATAAAAATAGAAGAAACGTGGGTTGGGACTAGAGAAGAACTTTGGACTCTATTTTGCAAGTGAGATATCGTTGAACATTTTTGAGGAGAGTTACTGGCTGAAATGTAAAAAATGGTTGAAAAGAAAGGATTGTGCATTAATTTGTTTATATGAATACTGCCATGGTGTTGGGATTAGATCACAGGTGTTGGGATTAGATCACAGATTTGGGTATTAGAGAATTTTGGGTATTAGAATGGACAATAGGTTTATGAAGGAAAGTGGGAAGAGGGAAGATGATTTTGCCCTTTCAAGTCCAAGTGACTGGAAGCCTGTTAATACCAGTCAACTAAGCAGAAGGAGGTTTGGGCTAGAATAAGTTTGGTTTGGGATATACTGTTGACATACCAAAACTGATGTGACATATCCTATTTCCTGGTTCTTCCTTGGATTGTCCAAGAGGTACTAACATGACTAACGTATTAAACAAGCTCTTGGGGATAAAGTGCCACAGATACCATTTAGGTATGACGCATTATGCTCTTCTGGTTAGTAACTGGGGAGTTGATCTAGAAGACTGGCTGTTCAAGGGTTCAAATCATCTTCATTGCATAATGTTGACCAAGAATCCCCAGGATACCTTAACCCAAGTACACATTCTAGACAATGTTGATGTTCTCAAAACAGGGCTAAACATGCTAAACGGCAAACTGAAAAGTAGCCCTTATCCTGAAGGAAAGTCAATTTAACATTCCACCAAATTACAAAATGAATTATTTTGTTTTGTTTCAGATACCTGACCAGAAACTATTGTATGAAATTTAACCAAAGAAGGGTGTGTAATGTAGATCTGCAGTGGAGGGTAATGGGTGTTTTGAGTTGTCTTTTACTAGAATCATGCTTAAGAACTCAGGTTCTGAAGCCAGCCGGCAGGTTAGAATACAGTTTCACTACCAGCTCAGTGGTGATTTTGGACAAGTTACACATCTC